CCTTTGCCTTTTTAACCCCAGTAAAGAGCAATTAACTATCTAATGCAAAAAGTTCAAATAAGCTATTAGGAAAAAGATTATTTTACTGGATGCTTGCTTGGCCTGAGTACTAGGATGAGTGCATATTTTTAAAAGCAACTGTAAATTGTTACTAAATGAATCAAACATGTTTAAAACTTTCTTAGACAGACCAAGGGGAAGTGGTACCTGAATTTATACTCTTCACTGATTCACAACAAAGAAACTAGTCCTTGGGTCATCCCCCACACAAGTTTTTAGAAATCAATCCATTTGTGTCAAACTCTGGTGGAGCAATGTCAATTAGATTCCCTGCAATTAGTATACAAGTGATATAGCTGTTTGTTACTACATGTAGAACAAAGAAACAAATGCTGAAACACATCTGGTTGATAGAAATGCTGATATGTCAATGGAAATGAAGCCAGATGGGTTTCATTCTAAAGCTCTTTCCTTCCACAAACACAATAGTGCTAAATATGGCAACCTAGAACAAGTATGTAAATACATCTTTGAGAAAATATTTCAAGGTACAGTTTGTAAAAGTCAATTTTAACAAAAGTATGTCAAACATGCAGCCCACAAAATTAATTTGTGGTCCTCAACTCTCAGTACTATATTATCAACTACTGCTTATAATATGGTACTTTTTTAAAGTTAAAGATTATTATAAATGGAAAAAGTGCTTCAAGTTGTTTTGCCACCACAGGCAAAAAAAAAAAAAAGCAGTTAAAAGCAGTTCAGTGGTACTGATTATCAGCTTTGTTTATTAGGACAAAAGACTTATAATGAGCCACTGGTTAAGATGTCAGCATCTGTGAAGAGTACTTGGAATCCATCTGCAAACAGTATGCACAGAGTTACATTACATAATATAATGAAGTATGATCCCAAAGTTATTAATTACAAATTTTTTATTTTTACTTTGGTCTGGGTCATTTTTATGCATCAATGAGAAAACCAAGAGTAGTGATAGTTAGATCTTTGGAGTATACCACAGCAAAGGACCTTGTAAAACACAATGCTTAGTGATACCTTATCATATGCGGGCAGATATTTTCCAAGAAGCACATAAACAGAGAAAAACTTCCATTGTCAAGTGGTGCGTTTACCAATGGTAATTTAGCAAGCAACATAATGGCTACACGCTATAAGATGTGCACTCATAAAATGAATTTGGCAAGGTTGGAGAGGAATTACATCAAGCATTAGGAAAAAGTTCAAAATGCCAGGACACATGCCAGCTGGAAGACTTCTTTGGCTTCAAAAATAATGTTTAGATTTAACCAACTCTTCTGAGATAATTATCTGGTAAAACTTTGAAATAAAAGTCTGACTCTTTCCTTTTGAAAGGGACAATGGTTTGTTAAAAGGCTGCCAGTGCCACTCTGTGCTCTTCATTCATACTAACCCCTAGAATATGAGAAAAGGGCAATGAAAGTCACCGGGGGTAGGGAAGATTGAAAGAGCATCCAATTGCTCCTTTCTGATTTTTCCTGACAACCCCAAATTTAACTGCATTTTTTTTTTGCTTGTGGTGGCAAAACAACTTAAAGAACTCTTTCCATTTATAAAAAGTAAGAAGATGTGCAAGTGTGGCATGAACGAGGATCAGTATGACAACGTGTCTACAGAAATGACACTGATGATGATTTGATGAATAAATGTTTTTAGTCCTACAAGGCTAACTTCCTGAAGATTCCCAAAGATCGGTGTCATTTTTTAATGTAGGCAATGCAGCCCTATGTTAGAATATAATTAAAAGCATTCACTTTTAAACATTTTCTCCAATATACATCTACATACTTGTTCTAGGTTTATCACATTGGATAGCATAGTGCTTGTAGAAAAAAATGACTTCTAATAACACCCGATTTAGCACATTTCTGACACTGTAAGATGAAAATTTCTATGAGCCGGAAGACCTGGACACAAAGGATAGCAACACTCCCTGCTGTGCCACAACGAGTGACACCTCTGAAATTATGATTTGGTAGATTGTTGTGAATGAAATGGTATCTCACTTATATCTTTCTGTCACTAACTTGCCCACAGAATGAGATTTTATTATTTTATGCTACCAAACTATGAATTATTATGGTGATGATTTGCCTAAGCAGTTAGTGTGCCACAGCAGGGTCCAAATGGAGACTTAATGTGTAGCATACCATTGTACTGTATATTTAACTTCCCAGCATTTTACATGTTAACTTCTATTATATAAACCCATAGTTACAAGAATGAACTGACATACATTTATTTCTTTATAAATATAAAGTTTGTCTCATTTCAAGAAACGAAGGAACAGATTCTGGTTTTATTATCTTATTTTATGCCTGTGCTTATTTCAATTTCACGATGAACTGGATCATTGCCATAAAAATGTATGCTAAAACTCCAAAGCAGCAGACTGTTTTCGGTAGAAACAAGTAGTCCTCTTGCACCTTAGAGACTAACAAAATATGTATAGTATCATGAGTTTTTGTGGGCAAAACTTGAATGGAGAAAAAAGGGGGACTCTCAGAATTTATAAAAGAAAAAGAAGGGAGAAAAAAATGTGCCTGTCAATTGTAGTGCCAGTGCTAATGAAGCTGAGTGACTGCAAGCATCCTGTACTTAGCTTGTTTTCTGTATTGTTTTCTGTAGGTTTAGCTCACACATTTTCTGTTAATTTCATTGATATAATTCTTATAAAGATAAGTGCTAAAAAAGCTTTACATGTATACAAAGAGTAAATCACAAAAACTTGTCAAATATCTTAGATAATTGATGATTAATTGCAGTTATTTAACTTTGGTATTTACAATAATAAAGGTACAGGTTGACCCTCTCTCAACCTGGACACTCTAGTCTAGATGTTCCAGGACCAGAGTGTCCCAGTGGAAGACTGGAGGCTGGGAGCCCTGCTTCAGGGCTGTAGCCCTGCCCTGTGGTGGTGAAACTGGGAGGCTGACAACAGGGCTGCTGCCCAGTGGCAAAGTTATCTAGGAGACTGGGAGGCAGTGGCACAGCAAAGAGCTCGGCAACCCTGCTGCCATCCAGCGGAGCTGCCCAGCGGGGCTGTCCCAAAGGCCGGGAGTCCGGGAGTAGGGCTGTCTGGCAGCTGGGCTGCACAGTGAAGCAAGAAGACCTGTGAACAGAGGGGCTGGCAGCAGGGAGGGAGCAAGCAGGGGAGACTGGGAGCCAGGCCTTGGCTGAGGAGGTCCTTCTCTGGTCCAGCAAAACATCTTATCTCGGCTCAGTTAGGTACCAAGAATGTAGGACCAAGGAGATCCCTTATGCTGGAGTAAGCATGAGGAAGTTGAAGAGAATGCTGAAGATACTAAAGTAATCTTTTCAGATTTATCTAAATAAAACTGACAATTTTATAAGGGCCACAACTGAACCACACAAAAAAAATCAAGCAACCTATATTGTTAATGCAAGCAACTAAAATTATATACAATACAGAATGGATAAGATGTAAAATTCATATAAGAAACAGAAAACAAATAATTTAAAAAAAGGAGAATAAAGGCAGAAACTTAGATCTTAAATACGTGGACTGGACACAAGCTAATAGGCTTTCCTTTTAAAGCAGGAAAAGGAAAGAATAAAAACCCACCAATATGCCTCTTTTGCTTACTTCAGCAATTTTAATTTGAGATAACTACTATATGTTCGGCAGTGATAAAAGCTATCTGTAACACGTAAGCCCATTTTTATAGATAAGAACGTGGTGCCAACAAATGCAGGGAAAAGAGCCAAATCAGATGCTAGTTCTGACTTTGTATGTTTTACATCTCAGAAGGCAGGAACCTTTTGCCAAGTGTGTTCTGTTTCTGTCCGTCCATACCAGTGACATTTCAAAATGCATTTATCAATATCAGTGAAACATTGACCTTATCTTGGTGTTTGTAAACTATGGCACTGTGAATTTTAATACTAGAAGTAAAAGACAAAGGGAAAAATAAAGTATTGTTGATTACAGGGACAGACACTGACTGCTATTTTAAAATAAATGTGGGAGTGTGTGTCCCATTTTATGCAGGAAGACATCAAAACTTTCTCAGAATTTATTTTTGAATTTGCT